ATATATATATATATATATATATATATAGGTATGTATGTATGTATATAAACAAGAAATAAGTTAAAAAAAATAAAAGTATGCTATAAACAGTATTGTACTAAAAACAGTAGTGTATTCACCTTCTGCAGATATCATTCTGTTATGGCGTTGTGCAATATTGTCAATAAATTAGATAATGAAAAATGTAAACATATTGGCCTTGTTGCTGTTTTGGGTGATTTATAAATAAAGTGGTATATTAAGGTATGGTGTAATAAACAATGCACAGTAGGTGGGTAAAATGAAGTCCAGGTCTTTGGCAGGTTAGGCTGTGAAGTCAATGCATGTGCGACTTCATTATTATTTTTTTCAGGCAGTCCCTGGAAAACGTGAATTTCTGATCAAAGTTCTGCCTTCCAATGTGTCCAGTGAAATCTGCAAGGAGGGAAACCTGAGACAACCGGTATATTTGTCAGCGTTCTGCCACCTGCTCGAGTCACACACTGGATTTTTGACTAACTGATGCTCATTTTGTTGCTTATGGATAATTTATTAGTTAGTGATCAAAATAATTTTTGTTATTGTCTGCAGAAGAAAGTATAAAACATACCTCTGTTAAATGGGTGTCAACACAGATGGTGAATACAAATCTACTGACTTATCTATATGTTAGTGTAATAGTACACATGAGAAAATGTACAAGTTTTACTTGATTAAAAGTTTTTTGGGAACAAGAACCCAAAACAGTCACCGGTCCTTTCGGTGATACATCACAAATTCTTGTTTTTTGTTGTTTGTTTGTTTGTTTCATTGTTAGTTTGTTTCCTTCACTGCACCACCTGGTGGTGGATGGGTTAAATGCAGAGACTAATTTCGCCATTGTATGGAAACATACAGTGCTGATATTGTGATGACATTATTATTATTATTATTATTATTTTACGTTGGATGACAGTACCTGATATGCCAAAATCAAAAACGGCAAGATTGACAGTCATGATCTCAGGAGGCTTCAACTTGGTCTTGCGTTTGATGGTCATGTAAATGACGTAGCCATTTCCAATTGCCGACATAATTCCTGTCAAACAGACAGAGAAAATGGCAGATGAAATCTCTACAAATCATTCTTTTTTATATATATATAAATAATTTTTAAAAAATTAATAAAAGCCATAAAAAAGTCATAAAAGTGCATGCAAATCCATTTGTATTTGATAACATGTTGGAAAAAATACAGTTGACAAAATAAACAAAATTCCCCTTTTGAGATAACATGAATATTTCTGAATGGCACAGAATGATTTCATGGTGATCGGCAGGGAAACTACCAAAGTGAACTGTTAGAAAATAGAACATAAATTAGGTGTAAAAAGATCATAAGTTATTGTTAATGAGAATGTGCAGTTCTATCATACAGTGTGTTGAAAACGTATTCACTTCCTTTGTATTTTAAATAATGAAGTTATATGGGAGTAAAATAATAAAAAGAAATGTGGTGCTTGCATATGAATTCACCCCTTTTAGGCCTGTCGCGATAAACAAAAAATCAATTAATCACATGATAAATAAAAATTATCAACCTCATTTCCCTTTATCGGCTTTATCGTTTCTTCGTCTCTCTCTTTCTACTGAAGACCCTGGATGATAAAAGGCTCAACTTCAGTGCTCTTCACTGACCCCTCCCTTTCTCTTTTCTCTTTAAAATCCATTTGGATCATTAAAAGCAGCTAAGCTGAAAAGCTAAGCTATGAGATAAGCTAACAGGCCGACCTTGGGAAAAAAATCCTCCGTCTTGTCAAAGCTCCAAAATTCACAGTTGAAACCCATGCCTTCATGTAAAAAAGTAGTTTTTCTCTGAAAAAATAAGGTGAGAACTTTTTTACGGATTTTTTAAATTAAAAGCTTTGTGTGAAAAATGCTATGCTAAAGAGCTCAAACCACACTGAGTATTCGCCATTTTGAGAACTGAAAAAAGGAAGGAAAGACAGTACATGTCACGTCTAGGGGCCTCCCTCCCATTATTCTTAAAGAGACACGTTGCTCGCTCCCTCACTATCCATCCTTCAGTTCAAACAGTCTTATACTGCCATCCGGTGGTCGAAAAAAGGTACTACACTCAAAACAAATTAACCAACATTTCTTCTTAAATTTGACAATAATTACTAATTATTGTCAAATTTCAAACAATATTATCGTTTATCGCAATAATTTCTGAGATAATTAATCGCCCAGCACAATTTGTTATCGTGACTGGCCTACCCCTTTTACTTTGCGTCCTCAACTATTACCTTCAGAAAACAGAAAGGTAGGTAAATCAGAATCAACTTTATTGTCATTGCACAGTTAAGCACAACGAAATACATTTCAGTGCAGCCGTCCAAAGAAACAAGGGTAGACGGAGGTGCACGGAGGCTGCAGCTTTGTTGTGAAGCCCTTATCGTTCAGATAAGAAAAGGGAAGAAAAGCATGAGGAAAGATGAAGATATTAAAAAAGATCTCTCACATTGTGTCCTTGAAAGGGAAGCAGAGCTTCATGATTTACGTATCCTCCAGGAGCAATTTGAGATAAGTTGACCTATCCAAGGCCAAGTGGGGAAGTCAGATTCAGATAAACAACAATTGTTTTGGGGCAGGCGGACTCTACTGATTTTACGTCTGCCTTCATAGTTCTGCTGGTACATTCAATGGTGAATCCAGATTTGTGGTCATTCCGCCGGTCTGTGCTTGTAGCCTTCTCCAAGGTCGAGTCCTTCATGCCAGTGAGTTCCAGGATTCATAAGTGGCCTGCGATTCTCAGAAATCGCATCCAGCTTACAGTTCAGCTTGCAAAGCATCCGAGTCTGAGCACTTGAAGCACGGTACAATCCTTCACATAAGACAGGCAGCCTCACCATTGTCAAAACTGTTGCTGACATTGTCCTAATTTGTCGATATCCAAGGTACCCACAGATTCCAAAAAGCAGAAACCTTGTTATCATAAATCTAATTGTGTACGCGTCTTCAACATCCTCAACGGACAATACGAACAGGCACATCATCTTCCGTTCACCCCAGGAATCCATGATATGTCCAGCTGCGTGTGTACCTTCAGGCCATGAGGGTTCTTCTGCACCCTGTCTTCTCGTCGAGAAAATTTTATCAGTTGCGTTGAGAGACCAGCTGACCAACTCCATAATTTACGATTCGGAAGATGTGTAAAGAGAAGCTCTGAGAAAGAATCAAAGAACAAGAGCAAAAGCAGGAGAGAGGCAGGAGAGGGAAAAGAAAGCATCCATCTTCGTCAAGAGCAAGTCAGAAAAATGCGTCCATTTGTGAGTCCATCTGAGACACGCATGTTCTAATAAACCTCATAACTAATACCTCTTAGCAGTTAGATGACTACCAAGCAAGAGGCATCATGAAGACCAAGGAACCCTCCACACAAGTCAGAGACAAAGTTGTGGAAAGTACAGACCAGGGCCAGCATGTAAAAATGTATTAAACTCTTTTTCCTGTTTTTGTTTGTTTGTTTGTTGTCAAAATATTTTATGAAATGCTCATTAAACTTACAGAAAGTAATCAATGTAAGAACATCTAGAATTGGTTAATTTTTAGAGTCTGTCCAATTCAAAATGGTTGCCACATCCAATCAACGATAGAAAATACAGAAACAGCTATGACTCAATCCAAACAAGATTGAAAGCAAAAACAACTGGTTATGTTCTGTTTATTTGTAACAGAAGACGTTTGACTTCTCATCCGAGCTATGACTCAATCAAACCTCGAGATATTAGCCTAAAACTTCAAAACACTACCACTCCCCCCATTTAATAATTTCAGTAACTCATAATTTATATTGAGAGACTCCACAAGAAATTAATATCTCTGAATAATAGTTTGGTTTGGTTTTGTGGATCAGTCTTCTGTTAGTTAACATGTATTTATTTAGAACTTTAACTTCTTGCAAAGCTGCTATAGATGAACGCTAATTATCAAAGACATAGTCAACATTTCTTTATTTGTCATTCACACCCCATGTGGTACATGTGGTGGAACAAAATTATGTACACAGGGTCCCAGTTACATCCAACAATAAAATGCAAAAGATAAACAGTAATAAGATCTAAGATATGAACTAAGAAAAACATTAACTAAAAAATTCCAAGCACTAATAGCATAAAAACAATACACCGAACAGCAGCAGCACGAACATGAGTATGTGAGCAGATGAGTATGAATGAACACAGCAGCATGAAACAGATCAGCAGCATGAAACAGATCAGCAGCAACATGATGGGATTTTTCACAGTGATTAATCTGGTTAGAGATTCATGAGTCTAACAGCTTCAAGGTAGAAGCTGTTCCTCAGTCTAGTGATTCTACACTTAATGCTCCTCAACCTCCTGCGTGAGGGGAGCAGGGCAAAAAGTGTGTGTGCTGGATGAGTGGGGTCCTTCCTGACGCAGGTGGCCCTCTTCCTGCATCTGGAGGTGTAGCTGTGCCTGTGATGGTGGAGAGGCTGACTCCATTATTTAATTATTTAGGGCCTACAGAATTAATCCAAGCCAAATGAAATCTATCTTCAACCCTACACCCATATTTGATGCACATCAACATTCTCTCATCATTATTCACCTACAGAGTTACACATTAAAAATCTGACAGCAGCAGAACTTTCATTTAAATGTCTCCATGGCAACACCGGAGCTCTATAAAATGCCCGTTCTCTCTGTGAACAGGACACATTTTTTCTTTTGGACTTTATTATTGTGTATGGCTACATGTTTAGCAGCCTGTTCTTAGAGTTTAAATGGTTTTATATGTTTGTACAAAGAACAATGGGCTTTTGTTTTCAGTCACATGACAGCATGACCAGTAAGAAACCGCTTTGAAGAGAAAAAAAATAGCGAGGGAGTGGAGAATGACGTTTGGTGCTCCGGTTAATTTTGTTTCTGCAAGTTGTGGACTTGCTGAACTTGATAATAAATGTGGAATTTTAATTTTATTTTGCAACAGTATATTTGATAAGAGCTCAAGAGGCACCTCAAATAATTGCTCTTAGAAAACTTCCTGTTTACTGATCCTCCATTAATAAGGTGGAATTTCTGTCCTTAGTCATAATCAGTGACACTGGAGATTTCATGGCACAACCACGCTTCCATCTGTAAAACCTGTCACTGAACTTGAAATAGGTGTTGAAAAGGCAGAGGTCCAGCAGGGGACAGACCTGGTCCAGGGTAAAACTGGTCCTGTTGTGGGTCATTATCTTGTTCAAGTCTTTTTCTGACTGGCTGTAATGGTTTATCTGAATGTTTCCCAACTGGTTCACTAAGACATTACCTTTTACTTAAAACAAGACCAACCCTTCAGGTCAGACCTGTCACGTCTGCTGATTCCACTCAACCTGTTGAATCTGCACAGATTTCCTTCAGCTGCTCAATAAACCTGATTATTTTTTCTCAGGGTTTGCAGAGAATCTTGTAGTGAAAACATTTTAATAAGCAACACAATGAGCTGACTGTGCATTTATTTCCATGAACTCATATGATGCACAGATACCAACAAATAAAGGCTCTCGGCCAACGTTGGGCTTTTGGGGCATTTCCACATAAAAGTGAGTGAGAAAATGGATGAAAAGAATGAACAAACATCACATTAAATGTGTTTTCCCTAAAGCATACGGTGTCCCTGTTCCTGCCTATCGACTTCCTCTTACAATATTTTATGTTGTTTCCTGTACAACTGCAAGCAAAAACTTTCTTCTTTTAGCTGTTCCCCCTCCGGGGGTCTCCACAGCAAATCATCCTCCTCCATCTCACTCTGTCCTCTGTCCTCACTTCAACCCCCATGTCCTCCATGTCCTCTCTGACTGTCTCCTTAACTGGATGCTTTGCACAATCAAAAACAATGTCTAAATGAAGAAAAATTGGGAATTTAATCAAACTTGAGTTAGTGACAAACCTAAATAAGTAGTGGGGTGTAAAAATGTGTCACACCTATGGAAAGAGGAGGGTGTGTGTGTGTGAATCTGTGGATTTCAGTGAATAAAGTGAACCAGGACTGCTGATCTGCCGGTGGCGCACTTCTGAGGCTGAGTCA